TTCCTATGGTGTAGTCCATGCACGGGCCAGCAGCACAGGCTGGGAGCTTGTGGGAAATGCAGACTCATTATCCCCACCCCCATGTCATCAGAATCTGCTTTTTAACACTATCCCCAGGGGATTTGCACATTAACATTTGAGAAGCACCAGTACAGTATAAATCTCTTATCATTATTGTTTAATTGTGTTCCCTGCTGAACTCTAAGCTCCATGAGGTCGGGGGCTGAGTCTCTCTTGCTTATCCACCACCATCTCATGCAGCTAGCATTACCACAAAGAATAGGAGCTGAACACAAGCACTGAAGGTTGTTGAAAAACTTTTGTGGCATGAAAAAATAGTTCTTTAGCTTCTTAACTCATGCTTCCTCAAATATAGTGTTTACTTTTTACAAAACATCTGCTTCACTTGTTCCGTTTTTGTGTGGCAACCCACAATAGTACCACACTTTGGACAGCGTAAAGAAACTATGGAAACCATGTCAAATCCTGATAGCAATTTAAATAGACTTCTGCCTGGATTCATGTGGGTGGCAGTATTAGTAGCTGAGCATCCTTAGCTACTAAAATACCCCCGCGTTTTGGAGTTGACCAGGGTGGGGGTGGGGGGAAGGGGTGAGTGGGAGTTGGAAAAAAGGGCCAATACATTTCATAAGGATGGGGTTCAAACTGAAGCAGTCCAACAGCCTAAATGAAAGACTGGCTTGGAGCAGTTGGGAGTGGAAGCACAGTGGGGAACCCAGAACATTTAATACCCCAGGCTTCCACTTTTCTGTGTACAGAATCAAAATCAATGCTCCCTCTTCATCATGTCTTCACTGTTAGCACCTATACAAAGGAGACTCGAGTTGTATAATCGGAATGATCTGCACTCTGAAACACAGGGTGCACAACAGTTAACCAGAATGTCTGTGTGAACTCACTCATTTCCATTGATTCAGAATGGTCTCAGCGTTTTAACAGGGTCATCGTGAGTTGGAATCAGCTCCACGGCATCTGGTTTTGTTTTGGTTTTTTTTTTTGGTGTGTGTTATATAACGTTTGATGGAACTACCAATACTATTCTGACAATGGTCCCCCAAAACACTTTTTTTTTTTTAAATTATAAAAGTAACACATTCTCTTTGCGGGAAACTTGGAAAACAAAGTTGTAAAAGAGAAAACAAAAAATACCTGCAGTATCAACACTGGAAGATAATCACTATCAACATTTTGGTCCATTTCCTGCAAGGGCTTTTTCCTATGTTCGTGTTTAAGCACATTTCTATGTACATACATTTAAAATCCTTTTTTTTTTCACTTAATATTCTAAGTATTATCCTTTGTTATTGAAGTAACTGTTTTTTCTTAACTAAAGTATTACGTTTTCATTGGAGAAAATACTGAAAATACAAAATTGAGATCATCTGTAATTACTATCCAGGGCCAAGCAACAACGGTTTTATTGTCTTTTCAATCTCTTTTCTAGGCACGTATTTAGAAAAAAAAAAATTTTTAAATGCACCATGATATTCCTTCACTTAGATGCAGCATGACTGATTTAGGCATCTCCTTATTTTGGGTCGGTATGAGTTGGACTTGACTCAACAGCAACGGGTTTGGTTTTTCAGGTTTTATACTGGGCATTAAGGTTGTTTCCAATGAATAGTAGCATGATAAACATCCTTTTCAATGGTATTTTACATTGAAAGATTATGAATTTTCTCCTTAGTTTGTTTCCACTCAACTCTTGAAAGTTTAAATAAAAGGGCAGTAGAAAAATACATAACTTTCGCTTATGTCTCCATCTGCATTTTACATTTGTTCTCGCAAATATAGGGGAGCTTTTACAGAGTGGGATGGGGCAATGAAATAATTCAAAAACACCTAAATATGATTTAAAAATGAAATTTAAATACAGTTAATAAAAGAGCAATTGACTACTCAAATTTTTGGAAGATGAAATCCAAGGCGAAGTCTTCCAAGAGTCTGAACAACAGTTTAAAGTAATTTTTCAATTTGCTTCAGAATGGCAGAACATTTCCACTTGATTAGTATCTACCTACCATTGTTACAAAGCCTGCTAGAGAAAACGAGCAACAAGGTGCTACTTCTAACGCACAGCAAAGAAAGCTACTGTCTCTTTGTGTCAGCCTGGGGCCTGGTATGTGCCTTTTATCTTTCTGTAATCCACTAAGTACAGAAAACTATCAAAAGGGAAACCATTTGTAGAAATTAAAAAAAAAAAAAAAAGTTGGCTGTCATTCTGGGGCCAATCTTTAAGTACTATCAGTGGGCTCCATGGATTTAGTCATTTCTTTGGAAGATACCCTTTGTGTATTATTATAATTTATAAATCATCTTTACTACCACTATCTCATTTGATAATAACAACTTTGTACAGTAAAAGGGCAGGTACAATTCCCATTTTATAGATGAGAAAACTGAGGCTCAAAACCTAAATGACTTGCCCAAAGTTATCCAGCTTGCAAGTGATGGAAGAAGACTGCAAACCCATGACTTCTTCTGGTCTGATGCTCTTCCCAGAAGGCCACACCATGATCACCTGGAAAGGCTTTGCAGGAGAGGGAATTTTTCAATATCCTTTTATAGGGCAGGATGGAGTTCTTTCCATCTGGGCCTAGACAACTGCTGGAGCAAGGAAAGTGTTAAAGGGAATATGATTCACAAACATCCATCTCAGACGCAGAATCACGTTTAACAGAAACAGTTGTTATTAAGAGAAAAGTGAGGCGAGAACATATATCTGAGTTTACATATTTGTTGCATTTAATCAAGAACATAAATGAGAAAGCTGAGGCTCAGGGATTAAGTGACATGCTGGGCAAGTTTTCTTCACAAAATCTGAGTCAATTTCATCATTCCCTCATTTCAACAAATAATGATATAGCTTGGGGGTGGCACAGCCATAATACTTGGCCTTTAAGAGCTTGCAATCAGTCTTATGGGAGGTCTTTGATCTCCAGTTTGGCTAGGAAATGAGTTCCTGCTTTATGCTGAGGCTATTAGGGCCTCATTAGAAGTTGCAGTAGGGTTTGGAGAGAACCCTTAAGTTTAGGCTTGAGCTGCTACCTTATTAGGGCCTGTTATTTCCCTAGTACACTTAATAAGCAGAACGTTCTCTACCAAGTGGCGATCAAAACCTTTCTGGCCACAGTACTAGGCCCTTCAGTGCTCAAGTCCCCTACTTCCCACTGCTATGGGCAGTCAACACACTAATCTTCCTTACTCATGTTTTCAGGAATTAACTCCTGCCAAGTAACAGCTAGTCCAAGCGCGCATCAATAAGCAATATAATCCAGTTTACTTCCCAATGTCTAACTTAATTGATTCAGAGTAAATGAGAAGTATAAAAATGGATCAGTACCATGTGACAGGTTAAGGTAGAACTCAGGGACCTGGATCATCCAGGGTTGTGACATCTGGCTTAGAAGTATGACATCAAATTGGAAATGTGCCAAGCCATGAGCATCAATGGCAAGAGACCTCAAGGCTGCCCTCTATTACTGCTGCAAAGTATGCCGCAGCTAAGATCTCCTGCACTGAACCTGGGGTGGGGGTGGGGGGCTCCTGATTTAGCTGTACACTGAACTCAAGACAGGAAAAAGCAACACTCAAGGGAAGAGCTACTACATTAAGGCCATCATGAGGCTCAGCTTCCAAAAACATTGCCTAATTGTGGGCTGCTGGAAAGCAAATTCATTACCATAGTCCAGGGTGGGCATTGGGAAGGTTTCAGCCGGACCCCCAGTGACAATGTGCTGCAGGTCCTGACTTGAAGAATCGGGTACACAGCTGCACTGGAGTCACACTTCCCCACGTGGTCAGGGCTCAAAGTCTGTGGCATCTTTATGCACCGACAGTAACCACCTGCATTTGTTCCATGGTTTTGCTTCCTTAGATGGCCAATATTAAGGCTCATGGAAGTTGCTTTGGGAGACAACTTGGTCATCCACAATGGGAGACTCTTCCCTCCCACCTTAGACTCAGAGTTGGCTCCTGACAGCAAGTGAAGAGTGCTCTAGGGTGGAAATTAGGAAACTTGGATCCTACTCCCCAGTCTGCCTCTGACCAGCTGTGTCAAACTCAGCAAGAAATTTTACTTCTCTTGGCTCAGATTCCTTCTCTGTAAAATGATGGGGTTAGCCTATACCATGATGGGCCCTTAACTTCATATCCTGTGTTCTAGGAATTCCATGAGATTAGCTAAAGAAGGCCTTTTGCTGGAAATGTAAAGTATGGAGTTGCCTTACTCTCAGAAAAAGTTCAAAATGAAAGTAAAGCATGGAAAGACAGAAATGAAAGCAGGAGAGTCACTTCAACTTGAAACTTGCTTTGGTCTTAAGAATAGCAAAGCAATGAGTTCAGACACTTTGGGAGGGTTAGAAAAGTACAAATTGCAAAACAGGAAATCCATTCTTGGCTGGCTGTCAAAAAGCATGAGCTGGTGAAAATTTAGATCCATTTTAATTTCTGAAAACTAATTAAGCCCCAGTTAGTGAATTATTGAGGTACCTGCTACTAAAACACAAAATTACTGCCCCCTGCCCCAGGGCTTTTAAATTACTCTGGAGTTCTTCAGTCCATTTCTGAGGGTGGGATGGTAGCAAGGAACTGCTGCCTGGTCCCGGAGGCTGGTATTATCCTCCACCTGCTCACCACCATTACCCCCTTCTACAGACAACAGCCCAACATGGCCTTGTATTATAGTCCCATGTACATTTACCTTATCTCTCCAAATAGCATATCAGCTCTTGAACTTGCAGGGATCCAAATTTACACATCATTGATTCCTCCAGTGCCTTGCCTACAGTCGGCACTCAGATGTTTACTGAACGCTTAAGAAAAGTACTTACCAGTCTCTTCAGGCGTGTTAAACTATACGGCCAAGTTCATGCATCCAACCTAAGTTTAGACTACAAAATCTTTTTTTTTAAAGGCATTATTTAGAGATAGAAATGTTTATAAAAATGAGCTTTACAAACATCAAAACCAGATTTCCATAGAGGACAGAAAAATAATTTATTCTAAAAGATGGCAGAAATAAGAAATTCATTCTAAAAATATAGTTTGGTGTAATTCCATCACGTTGGGACAGATGTTCCCTCTGAACATGCTCTCCGACTGACCGCCCCGCTGGAGTCGTTTCTGCCTTGAAGTCATTTCTGCACAGGTCTTAAACACTCTGCTGACTGTCATGGCATGAAGAGGCAGGGGCCGTCTTCAAATCCACAGGTTCCAAGGAGAGGGAGACGTATTTCTTTGAAGATTAGCATCTTCTATCTCAGAAGAGTGCATAACATTTTGGGTGGTCAGCACAGTTTAGGTTAAGTAGGCACATCATTCGAAAGTGTAAAAAAGGTGACAGAAAAAATACTGCATTTTAGAATAAGACATTCAAATGTGATGTGAATGTTTAAGGCAACTGATGCACAAAGAGGCAACTCAAGGAAGGTGGTCTGGGTTTGGAGGTGATTATGCATCTGGAGGAATTCTCTTCGTGACCTGCAAAACAAAACCATTCTAGTAACTGGTCCTTGCACCTTCCTCAGGAGCAGGAGAAGTTAACATCAAGAAAGTTAATCAGGCCAATAATTCAAAATATGTAGGTGTTCAACAAATACCTGAATGAAAAGTAGGCTCAATAAAATTGCATGTTTGGGTAGGTTTTGCTGGGTTGTGCCAACAAGACCAATTACCAAGGACACTGCTAAACTGAGGATCACAAACACTGGGCTGACTGTGTTACAGAAAGCAGGAAGAGCGGAGCTGACTAATGGCACCGGAATCTAATGACTTTAATGACTTTATTTCAGTTTCAAGAATCTGTATTTTTCTCTTACCTTCTTATGGCAAGAAGTAAGGTTACCGCAGGAAGAGCGAGCTTTTCTCTAGTGTCAGACTCCTAAAAGGGCAGATTCCTTGTCCTTGGTCTTGGTACTCATGAGTACTCCCCATTTGCTTGCCATTCTCGTGACTACAAATCTAGGTGACAAATGAGGATTTCTTTTTCTAGAAGCATAAAGCTGCAACACCACCCTTGCAAAGCTAGCAAATATTTAAAATAGGTAGCTTCACACATTGAACCGCTAGCAGTGGTTGAGGGGAGGGAGTTAGTTAAACTCAGATGAGATATGGTTTAGGGCAGGCAGGTCTGGCAAGACTGAAGTTCCAACAGCCTGTAGAGAGATCTCATGGGCTCTTTAGGTTTTTCAAATCAGTGGGCACAACCAGAAGAATTCACAGTTCAGTGTGGTAAAACTGAAGGCTTCCCAGCCCAGGGTCTAGAGTGCTCAGAAATGGACATGAGTCAGCTGCTAAGTCATTGATGCAAACTCCATGGTGGACAGCCCCAGACTTTTAAAGACCCACTAAGGCAGACACTGCAAACAAATAAATCCAATTTCAGATGTAATTAGAGACCATTTTTACAATGTACTAGGAAAATAACCACATCAGGCCAGGGACGGGCAATTATCAGAGCCACTGCTTTCTTGTAGTCTGAAAGCTTCAAAAAAACCTTTTACTCTAATTATCATTTTCTGTTCCTCTCGGGAGGCGGGCCGCAAAGTCGCTCTGCACAAACCTCGGTTCAGATTATAAATTTCACTTGAGCATACTAAAGTGTGAATACAGATGTTTTGTGTTTATTTTCTATTAAGAAGATACTGATTAGACTTATTCATCTTGTAGCCTTTTTTTTTTTTTTGACCAATGAACAATCATAAAAGGGAAAACTGCATCTTCACTTGAAAACCCAAACCCAACAGGGGATAATTTTCACTCAAGTTCAATGATGCCAGTTTAAAATAAATGGGAATGAGCATTATGTTAGATGACATGGTCTTGTGGTTTGATTTTGGAGTGAATTAAGGCAGCATATATTCTAACCATATCTGATATCAAATTGCTGTTTCGGGGGTGGGAGTGGAGAACCCAACCAAAGGGCTTATGTACTCATTTTGTAAAATAAAGGAATCACTAAGGATCAGATAAAGCTGAGAATGATGACGACATAAAAATATTAAGACCAGAACCAGGAACCCTGTTCAGGAAAAGCTGAGTATTTTTTAAAGGATACATAAATTAGGCTTCATTTTTACCTTTATGTTTTCATTTCAGATATATGTGCAAAAAATTTCTTCTTTACTATGTGTAAGATATATATATAGTAGAGAACTAACTACAAGACGCAGTCAAGCACCAAAACCCAAACCAAACCCACTGCTGCCGAGTCAGAAGACTCACAGCAATCCTACAGGACAGAGCAGAACTGCCCCATAGGGTTTCCAAGGCTGTAAATCTTTATGGAAGCAGACTGCCACATGTTTATCCTGTGGAGCAGCTGGTAGGTTCAAACTGCTGACTTTCGAGTTGGCAGTCCAGCACTTTTAACCACTGTGCCACCAGGGCTCCTTGTAGTTAAGCACACAAAACCAAACCCATTGCCATTGAGCTGATTCTGACTCATGGCAACCCCACGTGTTAGAGTAGAACTGCTCCGTGGGGTTTTCCTGGCTGTAATCTTTATGGAAGCAGATTGCCAGGCCTTTCTTCCATGGTGTCACTGGGTAGTCTAAACTGCCAACCTTTAGGTTAGTAGAAGAGCACAAACTGCACCACCCAGGGACCTCTAAGTACAAAAATGGTATGTGTATCCAGCAATTTAAGGCAATGTACCAAATGAATCGCATAAAGTGGAAAGCTAAATGCTTTTAGGGGTGGAAGAAATCACTTTGAAACAAAATGGCCAGGAAAAGAAGTTTAAAGGTTTGGGAGCTGGACACTGAAACAGAAAACATCAGAAAAATTAAGAGAAAATGGGTGAGGTGAGGCAAGAAAGAACAAGAAATGTTCACAGAATAGTGTGTTTACTAATCTGTTTATTAAATTAATGAATATAGTAGGGTAATGAAAGGCAGGGGAACGTAAGTAATTAAGTATCAAAATAGTAAGGCTGGGACCAATAGGTTGTGGAGGAAAGTAGTTAGATTCCAGGAAGTCTGTATGGTAGGGTGCGGGCAGGCTGGGAAGGCCTTGATCGCCAAGTTAGAAAGTTGGACAGAGCCTACAGATTACTGGTCTTGTCTTTCGTGGCTCATGGGATCTTTGGTGACTCTAACAAAAGTCAACAGAAGCTACGTGCTTACAATATTTTACACAGCATTTCAAGGGGCATGTACCCACTAAGGGAGCCCTGGTGGCGCAGTAGGTAGGAGCTCAGCTGCTAACCAAAAGGTCAGCAGTTTGAATCCACCAGCTACTCCTTGGAAACCCTATGGAGCAGTTCTACTCTGTCCTATAGGGTCGCTACGAGTCGGAATTGACTTGACAGCAACAGGTACCCACTGAAGTCAGGGGCCTCAGGATAAAAAACCCTGCTACAGCCCATGGAGAACTACTGAAGGCTTCCCTGGACAGCAATGATCTGTTTCAGGAAGTGCTCCATCAGGAAGACAAACAGGGTGCTGTCTGGTAGACAGACTGTAGAGACATGGAGATCAGACCAGGAGTAGCTCTCATAATTCAGAGCTTCAGTGATCTGGGTCAGAAATCAGGGTGCTCGAATGAGGAATGTAAAGGAAAGGCAGACTTAAGAGACATAATAATAGGATCAACTGGATTCGAGGAGGAGGAAAGGAAGAGACTGGCTAGGTTCTGACCCTAAGGGACAGAGAAAACTATGATATCAGGAACCGAAACTGAAACATGGCTGAGTTTGAAGTGGCAGAGAAGACTATCCAGCCAGAGCTGTGTGAAGAAAACTCAGATTAAGGATACTGCTCTTTAATCACAAAACTCCCTGTACTGTTTAACTTTTCACCTGTGTGCCTTCATTCCACCCCCCTCCCCCAACAGACTAAGAGCCCCTTCAGAGCCCACAGCCTTCTTTGAAATCTCCTCTCAGTATCATTTACATCATAAGCACTCAGATATTTCTGGAATGCACAGAAGAAGAGTTCCCACAGGGGAGAGGTCTATTACCAATACCCTTTTATTCCTCTCCACACTTCGTAATAAAATAGAATTTCTGCTCTTTAAGATGGCTGGAAACCAGATAGTTGTAACATATATAATAATAATTTAAAAAAACAAAACCAAAAACCAGTTGTTGCCCAGTTGATTCCAACTCATGGTGACCCCATGTGTGTCAGAGCAGAACTGTTCTCCATTGCGTTTTCATGGCTGTGATCTTTCAGAAGTAGATCACCAGGCCTTTCTTCCGACGTGCCTCTGGGTGGATTCAAAGCACTTAAAGCACTTGGCTACTAACTGAAAGGTTGGCGGCTCAAATTCACCCAGAGGCACCTTGGAAGAACGGTCTGGAGATCTCCTTCCAAAAGGTCACAGCCATTTAAAGCCCTATGTATAGTTCAACTCTGAAACGCATGGGGTCGCCACAAGTCGAAATCGACTCAACAGCCATTGTTTTTTTTTTTGGGTGGGGAGGTACCATATTACGATGGTGTGGTAAAACAACTAACGTAACAGGACACTGGATCTGAAACCAAATCCACTTCAAGGAGATTCCATACTAGCATCACAACCCCCAAGGCTGTAGGAAAATGAGACTGCGACAAAACCAGCAACCTTGTTGTAGCAGGTCTACGTCCATCTAAAGTTACATTTAAGGATCTAGGGGAAGCACACAAGGCTGGCAGGGGGGCAGAAAAGAAGTAAGCACTGTTCTTAGGAGTACTGGGCAAGACTGCCAGCCAATAAATACATGTGCTACAACTGAACCCTATCATCAATAACTGTGGTTCAGTTTTTCAATACATGAAAGAAAATCATGGCAATTAAAGTGATTAACAGAAGATCAGCTAGGTAAGAATGTCATTCAAGTCAATTCAATTTCATCTGTGTAAAATTATTCTAAAGCCTTCATGACTGTTTCACACTTTCCCTGGCTGAAAGCCATGTCTGGCTTACATCTCCACTCTCCACATCTGGCGTCTTACAGATAACATGTACAAAATCAAACACTGAAAAACTTGGGGGGGTTTCTGATTTTCAAATTACCCCATCGGTATCCAGAAGGGCTTCTTTCTTATCAGATGAAGACAGGCCCAAATCTGGCTTTGGCACTCCTTTATCATCTTACCATTGTGTAAACATTTAAAGTTCGAAGGGGATTTAGCTCAGTCTTTTCATTTTACCACCAAGACAAGTGAGGTCCTGTCTTAAAAGTTATGTCTGCTCTAATGCTAGACGAGATCAGATCCCTTGGTGTGATGACTCTGAAGTCCTAGAGTTACAGTACAACTGTAATCGCTATTTTGAATGCAGAATAGGTATGATGAGCTGTTTGCAATTAGGGTTCACCTGGCGGTGGCCTCCTGTGCCCCCCTACTTCCTGGCATTTTGCTTTTAAAGGAACAACCTTTCATATGAGGGTTTCAAGAAGTCTGCGTCTGTGCTGTGGACCAGAGTGCAAATGTTAGGAACTAGTCAGTAGTTAACAGAGACACGAGACTGAAAACACTGGGCCACTGAAAGCTCTTCAGGACTGGGTAGCCAGTGCTGCCACAGGAGGAAATAAGGCTCATACAAGTTAAGTGAAAGGCAATGCTGGAATTCACCCAACACGGAGGCCTGGAATTGCCAGCTTTAAATCCCAATCAACATCCTCACTTAGCATTCACTTTACCTGAAAGGTAGGGTAGAAGACAGGAGAACCTGATGAAAAAGGCAGGTTAAAAAAAAAATTATATGAGTCTGATAAAAATCTAAGGAAATCAAAACCCCTTTGGGCAAAGACAGAACTCTAAGGGGAAAGAACGCTGTTTACCTATCATATTGGTCAAAGTCCAGGCTGGGGAGAAGCAAGCACTCTCATACATTGCTGGCGAGAATGCAAAAACGGTTCAGTCCCTATGGAAGGGAAGGTAGGAAGAGTCAGGCAAATTACATATGCCTTTAACCCCAAAAGTTCATTTTCAAGGAGTCTGCCCCAAAGATCACTCACAAAAATATAAAATGTTTTATGCACAAGATGGCACTGTGGCTTTATCAGTAACAGCAGAAGACTGGCAACAACCCACAAGGACATCAATGACTTTAAAAAAAAATGAGGACAATCTCTATATATTGATACAGAGCAATCTCTAGGATATATTGCTCAGTGAAAAACCAAGGTATAAAACAGTATATATCTTTTCTGTAACAGCTGTGTGTGGGGGGAGGAGGATACAAATATATATATGTATGTATTTGCTTATAATGGCAAAAAAGAAACACTGGGAGGATAGACTTCTCTGGATATTCTTGTTTATAATTTTAACTTTGGAAATATGTTTTATGTATTCAAAAAATAACAGCAAATAAACTACTATACACTGAACACAAAATAAAACAACTTAATCTAACTGTATATCAAGTTGGGACATAACCACTAGAGGAAATAATTATCTCAAGAGACTTTAGAAAACAGCATTTTGTTCCTTATTTGTTCTAAGGGCAAATAAAGTTGTGTAAAAATCTTCAACTGTATTCAATAAACTTATAGTTAGTAGTTATATTGGTATTATTCTGAAATTTTTTTTTACATATTGTAGGATAATGAAAGTAATTAAGTTACTGTTGTTAGGAACCAAGATTTCCAGCATACGTGAAAGAGGTTCAAGTAAAAAACCAAAGAAGTTAAGTAGAAACCCTGTAATGTTAAATTTGAATTAGACATAGTAACATAAACTAGTGATTTTTCTTTTGAAAAATACATATTTTCTGGCTCTGGTCACTGAAGAGGCTGAGAAGCAACATCCCAGCATCAATGAACACACTTGGCAATCAGAGCTTGACTTTGTAAATACCACTCCCACTGATAGGAACCAGGGTCAGCTGGGCTTGAGGACTCACTAGTGAACCAGGCTTCCTTTAGGGAGAAATGTAGAAAGCAGTGGAACAGAACGACTGATTCCAAGTCAGGGCACGAAACACACAGGAGGGGTGTGGGCCATCTTGACGTGGCCAGAAAGTAAAGAAACTATCAAAGACTAACTGAAAAAAACCAAACCCGTTGCCGTCGAATGGATTCCAACTCATAGCAACTCTATAGGACAGAGTAGAACTACCCCAGGGTTTCCAAGGAGCAGCTGATGGATTCGAACTGCTGACCTTCTGGTTAGCAGCTGAGCTCTTAACCACTGTACCACCAGGGCTAAGGTGTCTGTCAAAAGGAAAAAGAAGCCAGCCTCAATAGGCTCCCATAGGCCAAAGGTAGGACAATTGAGCGTAAAAAAGAATAATAATGTAACTGATTAAAAATACAAGAAAA